CCCCACCCCCACCCCCACATCCCCACCCTCACACCCACACGCACACCCTAAAAGGTTTTATTTTTTTTTGTAAATTTCTGACGCTATGCACGCGCTAGTATTTACTTCTTCTAATTGGGATTCATTGTAGCATTCATTCACGGTGAAAATGTACAAATCCAACTACTTCCGTTAGTACATCATTATTCACTTGCCGAAAAATGGTTAAACTGATTTGTACAAAGTTACTGAAGTTAGTCGATTAGTTTGATAGAAGCGATATATTTGAGTGGCACCACTGTCTTTCACCTAATTATTTATATAAATCTTTCATTTTTCAATTCCACAAATACTAAACCGTCGCTTCCTAACGACAGACAACGATCAAACCAGTCAGCATACCGATGGTGTGGGAGAGGGTGAAATATTTGACTGCAATTAGGAATGAGTCTATTAAACACGTGATTACTGGATTAAAAACAGTCATCTCTCTCTTTAAGAAAGTGACTTTTCAATTTTATTGTGTTCTTCGTCAATCATCGCATACTCTAAATTTATTTTGTCTAGTTAGTTTGAATTCTGACATTAAGGTCCCAAACAGACTGAAAAAATAAAACAAATTAAGCAACGTGATTGGTTTATCTTGACTTAAATAATCTTTTCTAGAAGAGATATTCGTTAATTCAGTCTTAATTAATTTTTTTCAGCCTGTTTTGGGCCTAACAAACAATATGGACTAAAAAAATGGAAAAATAAAAAGCAATAGCATCTTTTCTGTCGACAATCATTGTATTTGTAAACTAATTAACAAAAATGTACACAGCTATCCCTAGAGAATATACTGAGTTAAGGGTACCCAAAAAAGTACCCTGATACCAGTATGTCACAGGAACTTTTGGGTACCAAAGTACTTGCAGGTACTTATAGGTACCTAAGTGGTACTTTGGCAAGTACCCGGCTGGAAAATGCACAGTAATTGGGTACCTAAAGGTACTGATCAAGTACTGAATTGGGTACCATTGTATAGTATTTCTAAGTACCCTGTTACCAAATTTTCAGTATGTTCAGGATCGAACCTGATCTTTGACTTTTAAAAATTTTTTTTTCTTTTTCTTGAGATAATTTACTAGATTTTTTTTTACTTTATTCAATTTAATTTTTTCAATTCCAAAAACTTAGCAGGAACAATGTCGGGATCCGACTCAACTTGAGTTGGTCGTAGACCACTTCAGGGTAGTCCGACCTTAATTTACGACCAAGCTCGGCATTTCCTCGACTAAGAAATAGTCAAGAAATAATTTAGAAAAAACTAGTATGAAAATTGATTATTTTCTTATGATTTATCGAGTTGTTTATATAGAGCCGTTCGTAAAAAAGAAAACGGTGAATGAATAGTCGCCACACAGAACGCGAAAAATTTAGGATACCCTGTCGAGATTTCCTCAGTAAAGTTACAGACTTGTGTATCCATGCAGGTACTTATTCAGTGAATGTACTTTTACGGGTACCCCAAACAGTACATACATCAGTAAAATTACTGAGAATTTTCAAAGTACCCATATTGGGTACCCTGCTAGAGCTTTCTCAGTACATGGGTACCCTGAACTCAGTACTTTCTCTAGGGATGTTTTTCAGTATATGATTAATTGAGGGATATGTTACTAACCCAATATATTAGATGGGATTCGATTCGATTCGACACGAATAATTTTTAATTCGATTCGATTCGGCAGCAATAATTTTTAATTCTATTCGATTCGACAATTTAAATATTACATTCGAAATCGACTCGATTCGGCTCAGTCGAATCGAATCCAATTAGCCGCTTATTCGATTCGGTTTCGGTCTCTGTTTTGTAATAATAATTCTAATTTTCGACGAGTTCCTGAAGTAGGATTTTGGACGTTTTCAGCCATTGTTTCGAAATAAAATGATCAATTATGGCCTGCTCTCTTGATTTCACTACAATCAGTGAGAGGATATCACGACGAGCGACCTCTATTCTTCTCAGATGTTTCTGTTCGATCAGGATTAGATCAATGATTTATTTTACCAATGTGAAAAAAAAACACAAGAAAACAATAGGAAAAAAATTAATCAGTTCTTTTCAATGTCAGTTCTACGTTCACTAATTCCCGATAAACTTGTTCGATAATGATACCATCAAAGGTTATTTGGTCATTGAATTCTAGTTTTTTCACTTTAATGTGTTTCTCGAAGTTTTTAATCATCATATTCAAAATCTTTGAACAGTAGAGAACATGATAAACGATCTTCTTATTTTTCATCGGCAATAAAACAGCTCTCGCCTTTTTGCCACATGGACAACCTGAAGGCCATCTGTCGTTACCTGAGTAATATTTTCGTCCATGAGGTGGAGCATCAAGAACATGAAACAATAAATGATCGGCTTTGTCGCGCCATGTTAATCCACAGGCTTCGTTGAGAGCATCGAGAACAGCTTCGGGTGTATCACCACCTGATCCACTTGTCAATTGTTTGATATAATCTATCGCTTTTTGATGACCACTAAAATCACATTTATGCGTGATATAATCACCTTCAGGTGCATGATCTCGATAATCAACAATGGCGAATTGAAAACTACTTGTTGCTTTGATTCTCTTCAATTGTTGTTCATAATTGTTGATAATACGAATTATCGTTTCTTTTACTTTATCAAAATATTGTTCCATCGATCTTGTCGTATCAATCACAAAGCAAATATCGACACCTTGGTAAGTTGCCAATTTTGGATGTTCTCTTTCACATTCGACTTTATGATAACCGGTGTGCCAGGCCTCTAACGTACAAAAACCTTTGGTTGTTTCAGGAACAATGGTCCCTTCATTGTCTTGTTCAACATGTTTCGAACAATATGTGTTGCAACTATCAATCAATTTTCGATCTTTATCATCGAGAGGTGAGATCCATTGCATCAGTGACCAATAAGTTGAACAGAGGATCTGATCATATTTCTTGTCACTTAGATTATTCACACTAAGGTAATACGCTTCATCCGAATGCTTCGCTTTGGATGGAAGTTTCTTTTCCCAACAATCGGAATCACCAGGACATTCAAGTAAATGAAAATGAGATCGACCGCGACGTTTACATGACTCACTACACTTTTCAGGTTTAGAGGATTCGCCAATTTTATAGTTTCGTACTGTTCTTATATTGGTGTCATCTGAAAAGATTTGAATTTGTTGAGTTGAATCTGTACCTGTAAAAATATGAAGATCTTTGTTGCGATGGATTGTTCGATGATTTCCTTGATGTCCAGGAGGTTCTCGACAGAATGAACTGCAATCGGGACAGCGTTGTTTACATGTATGTTGTCCACGCCAATCATGATACGGACTTTCTTCATGTGATGTTTTCCCAACTCCTATTCGTATTCCACATTCATTTCGAGGTTTTCCGACTTCAATGTGTTCATACGGAAAGACGGGGTCGGTGTGGGTGTGAGTGTGGGTGTGGGTGTGGGGTGGGTGTGGGGTGGGTGTGGGTGTGGGTGTGGGTGTGGGGTGGGTGTGGGTGTGGGAGTGGGTGTGGGTGTGTGGGTGTGGATACAGAGTAGAACTACAATCACGCACACATCCGCCCACCCCTACACCCACACCCCACCCACACCCCACTCACGCCCACACCCACACCCACACTCCGTGTTATTGTTTATCAACTAAATGGACTGAAAAACAAATTGATACGATACTGAACAAAAAAGAGTAGGGTGTGGGTTATCTCGTAACTATGCCCCGACTGCGCCCCCATCCTCGTCCACAACCACACTCACCCCCAAACAGTCACACTTACTTACATGCACACCCCACACTTCACAACCACCACACCCACATCCTCCAATAAGGAACAAGATATAGTAAGAAGTTTGAATTTTAGACGTAGCAATGTCTGTGTAGATGATATCTTTTATTCTCGACTGAATTTCGTTCCAGGACTCCTGATTAATGAAGAGTTATTTTGATCATAATGCCTTTTCGATTGATATAGTTTTTTTTGAAAAAAATAGATGACGAGGTGTATGTGTACGGGGCCTAAATATTAATCCAGACCAAATACTTCTATCTCAAGAGCGTGAAAGTAGCCATTGACAATGTGATTGTACGGCCCTTTTTGAGTTTTTTCAGACCATAATCGAATACTTAATCCAGTTGTGTCACGATAGCTATCGAAATATGCAAATATTGTACGATCTGAGACGATTTTATCGTAATCATTGTTAGAGCTCCAAGCAAACATGATAGTGAGGTCATTACCACCAAAAATAGGACCATTGTACGACACATGCGCAATGGCTCGATCTGTTTTATCTGGTCGCACATAAAATTTCGTTGGTGGTACATGATGTTTGTTCAGTAAGGTGAAAATAAAGGCTGTTGGATCCTCTCGATAGATCCATTCTTTGTTGAGTGGAGAAGTCCAAGAGACCGACGTGAATCCACCAAATATGCAACCATCGCTCGATTTTACGAGAGTCAGTGTCGGTCCTTGACCATCACAAAGACGATGGAAGCGAACCGGACCGAATCCGTGACGCGATGCTCTGTAGAGAAGCTTCCATTTTGAATTTTCGATGTCACAAAACTCATTTAAAATGGATTGATGATCGCAGCTTAACAGTTGAGTGTCGTCAAACAGTCGTACATTTATTTGTCGCTGCACTTAAAAATCGTAAAATATTATAGTAATTGCTAGAACGTTTCTGGAAGCAGCTCAACTAAGCGCTCCTTCTAATTGCATCTGCAGTTACGAGGGCTATACTTCCTTCCTGAAGCATCACTATTTACTGTTCGGAAACAGTTGAGACAACCTCTCTGAGTTTATTTTTCAACACTCACCCTCTGCAATTCTCTGTTTGCTTAATTCTTGATTTAATTTCTGTTGTGTAGTTAAATAGGCTTCTGTTCGTTGTTGGTCTTTTCGGAGTCTTTCTTTTCCCTCGGATTGTTGTTGTTGTTCTTTTATCGCAGCTTCTCTTCGGTGTTCTTCATATTTTCGGAGAAGCTTTTGGTATTCAGCTTTTTGACGTCGTTCTCTTTTTTCACATTCTGTTTCTAATTCTATCATTTCTAATCGATGTCTTTCTCGATCTTCTTGAATTTGCTTCTGAAATTCTGCAATTTGTTTCGTTAATTTTGCTAAATCGGCTGCTTGTAGATTGATTTCATGTTCTTTTTTATGCGTTTTCGGCATGGCTGTTGCCACTGTTTGAATTAACTGACGACGAAGTGCTAACTTCTCGTTCGGCGAATCAATATGACTAACAAAGCAGATGTGTGGAAGATTCATTTTCAGTAAGCGATTCAAAGCTTCTTTTGTCTCAGCTTCATAATCATGCGGACGGTTTGAATTCAAACCGTTGACAATAATGACCAATGATTTTTGACTAAATGGATATGCATCATTAATAGCATTGAATGCAACAACATCTTCATTACGTATGCGACCATTTTGATGTCCAAAGGCGTACAGTATAACGGCATAGGGATGCTGCTTAAATGCAATGCCAATTTCGCGCTTATTAATATCGATGCGTTCCTGATCCGCTTCGATAAGGCCAGGAATATTGTAGACCGCATATATTTGGCCATTAAACGAGCACTCTTGATATTCGCTTTTGGTGGTCACAGCATTTACCCGGAACTCATGTTTAAATGCCTCTTCACCTAAGATCACATTGCCGATGAAACTTTTGCCAACACCACTGTTGCCGAGAATAATTATTCCTGCACTTTTACTAGCTGCAGCCATGCTAGAAGAAAAAATACAGACAAATATCTCAACTGTTATCTGCTTCGTGTCGAGTGTATCCGGTTTATCGCTTCATTTATAAACGATAAAATAGTTCTTAACTCGCCTAGTCTGTTTAGATTTATATCCTTTCTACGCACTCTCTTGACTTTTTTTTATCAAACATGATCTAAAAGGAGTGTTGAAGTATACAGAACAGGGATTTACACTCTCACCCCAACCCGACAGAGCGAGACAGACATGGTTGGTATATAATCCAAAACCTTATGTCCCTCATATCTAACTGGAACTTATGAACTACTTTGTTATTGCAGTTGCCCAGGATTACGTGAAGAATGATGAAGAAATATGCCCCAAAATAGAGCGACTAGGATGCTTCTCGTCTCATTAACAGCAACATCTACATCGTGTTTTACATCTAAACCCATAGGAATTACGCCAATAGTCTTTTTTATTTATACCCAAATACGTACGTCCTTTTATGCTTCCTCTTACATATGTATATGTACCTGTGTATGCCCTTTTGCACGTCCTTTTACACGTCCTTTTGCACGTCCTTTTGTACGCCCTTTTGCACGCCATTTTGCACGTCCAATTCGAAGTTGGGTGTGGGTGTGGGTATGGGTGTGGGTGTGGGTGTGGGCGTGGGG